CCTTCTTGGGTTTTTTAAGAAAAAAGGGTTTATCAAGGGGTAGAGCGCGTTGATAAACGAATTTTTCAGTTATAAACCTTTTTTGAAGGTTTATAATTCTCCGGATTTTTTTTTCAGTGTGAGGTTAGATTCTAATTAAAGATCACACCTGCAACCACTCATTATATTTTGCACAAGACCAATAATTGGTGATGTGATTATATTGTAATCAGAACTGATATTGAGCTGCGCATGATGCGTGATAACAAATACAAATGGATAAAAATGAGGAGATACTGTATGAATTGTTTGAGGAATGAGAGATACTGTATTTAAACTTGTACAGTGTTTTATCCAGCTTTTTTCGTCCGAGGGTGCGAAATTAACTGCCGGGGGAGCAAAAATCTCTCTTCTGAGGGGGCAAACGTAGAGTTTCAGACTCAAAAAGCGTAATTTTTCTGAATTCCGGGGGGGCAGGAGCACCCTCCGAGGGGGCAAAAAGCCCCGTGCCCCCCCGCTGGATAAACCACTGAACTTGTATTAATTAATTTATTATTTGTATTAATTATTGTCAGTATCGAAGATGTTTGTTGCGTATCATCAGGAAGAAATTCTTGAACATACGATGTTACTAAATGACCAGTACGATTAACAAGATCATCAACTTCTTGTGGTCTTACTGGTACATCTATTGCAATTGTACCAATATTTGTTACACCACTTAATATTAAATTAATACCACGTGTTTGAAGATATGTTGATGCTTGAGGTTTATCAACAATTATATCAAAAACAGATATTTGTCGATGAAAGATTATCGGTAGATGTAGAAAGAGTTTCTTTTAAAGAAAGTGATGTTGAACTAATTTGAAAAATTAATGAACCATCATATCTAAATATTAAATTTAATTAAGTGTGTAATATTCATCTTCATGTTACTTTTTTGTATTTTGATTATTTGTTGTTGATTGTAAAGCTCGAAGTCTTTGTGATAAATTAACATTTCCTTGAACTTTTCTCATACAACCATCAA